ATTACCACTTAAGTCTTTCCAGTCAAACTAAGGCAATACTCATCAATGTTTTCCTGGTGATGGGACTCTGATTTAAGATGAGCATTCTCTTCTTGCAATTTATCTAACCTGGAGCGTTCCTCGCCCAACTTACACCTTGCATGCGCGGTTGCCTCCTTCTCTGCCTTAGCTAGCGCCTTGATGCGTTCCTTTGCTTGGAGAGCTTCACTTAATTGCTCCTTGTGTTTTTCTGACCTCAAGAGCACTCGGGGTTGGCGGCTCTGTAGCTCTCCTCAAGCTAGTCTCTTGGTCGGGTCTAAGAGTAACAACCTCCCTAAGGAGCCTATGATAGGCGGTCCAAACGTTATCTACTCGCCGATATAGTTCCTCGTCCACCAAAGCACCCCAAACAAATAGCTATAAAGACAATGATGGAGACCAACACTTGGGACCTACTGTAAATACTAATCATCTTGAGGAAGACAAATTTGCTCTACCGCCTTTTGTTAATTCCGACGTGAACCCAGAATAATCCCTCTAGCGTCAAGGTGCTCAACAGGATCAAAGTGAAATCCTAGGTTGGGCTCTCTCCCGTATCGGGTACCTCTCTCATCGAGCCCAATGAGATAGCTCCTCATCTCATCCTAGTTCTCGATACCAACATCAGTCACGAGATGAGGATAAGGATACTCTAATCCGGGAGGAGGCACTATTTCCTCCTCACTAGCTGCTTTCCCTGGGTGAGTCGACTCATGATGTCGGCCAAACGACTCTCCCTCTCCAGTGACTCTGGTCTCGTGTCGCCTTCGTCGAGAAGCCATCGCTTGTTCCCTCGAAGTACGACTCATTTGAGTGAACAACATCCGTCTCGTTGGATATCGGCTTCCTTGCATGTGCTGCGCTGGCTCGTCTCACCTTGAGACGTTTGTTCTGAATGCCTCCGCCTTCATCTGAGGACGAGGGTGGGCATAACCTCTTACTCTACAGCCTTCGCTAGGGTGGTATCTCGATGCCAACGTTTTATGGGTCTAGCCGACGGCTCCTCTCAAGGATCGACTATAGGAACAGTAGACACTAGCGCCGTCTCTACTTCCCCTGTGATGAGAACTGAGGTTGTCTCATAGTCTTGATCAGTAGGGGACTCATATGACATGCCAGCAACCCTCAGAACTAATTGATTAAGCAAATTCTCGAACCGACGAGAGCCGGCATAAGCATTGATCATCTCAAACTAGTTCCTATCGGCCTCTAAGTGCTTTCCTCTTTATCTTTGGCCATCTAGAGCAGCCCATTTCTAAGTCGTCCCCGACGACCCAAACAAATCGCTCCTTCCAATCTTTATGAGATTCAGGAAGGTTGGTGATGAGTTTGGACTTTATCACCATTTGGAAGTGAAAATGAGCTTCTTTTTGGGTCACCTTCATAGTAACTAAACGACCAAAAACCTTTAGTGAAGGCTTAATCCCTAACCAACGACATATGACCTCAAACTCCACTAAGACAACAATCGTATTCTGCTTCATCTGCGCTGACGACACTCCTAGCACCTCAAACACGTATTTGATAAAAGGATGCAGAGGTAATCTTAAACCACACTCTAAATGCCTCACATAGAGCGGATGCCGCCCTAGCCCATGGTCGTATATAGCCTCAGACACTGTAGGAGCCAACAATTTATATCCCTCAGGGGTGTCAAACTTCTTATAAAGTCCCCTTTCTGTGGCAAGGTCACTTTCGAGTGGATATTCTCTAAGAAACTTCGTCGGTCACAAGGATCAGAAGCCATTGAAAGAAAAAAGAAGAAACTAATCACTGAAGGAGATGAACGGAGAAGAGGAACTGTTCCCTTAGAAGAAATTTGGAAAAGCAATAATCGCCACTCCTTGAGCCTTATTCCTATTTAGGGACCGCTAATTCTTTGGCTGCTAGAAAATGAACCGTTGAATTTAGCTATATCCAACGATCCAAATATAGGAAATGCGCGCCATTCGCCTCGGATAGCCCGCCATCTATCATGAAAAGTGAGGCTGCAGCAGTAAAGTGGAAGTATGATGACGTCAGCCATGTCGTTTCGGAAGAAACTTTTCAGTTCTAATTTAACTCATCCACAAACATCCAAGAGCAATTTTTTATTCTATTTCCACTCAGACCCGGCTAAAACCGCCTCTAAGCAAAAGGGACCAACTGTTATAGTACTCCTACTCTTGGAGATATGGTGTATTAGTAAACAAATGGATGAATCCTTATATGTCTTGCCCAGCTCAAAGAGATAACCCAGATCCCCTATAGTCTGACTCAGTCGATTCGTCTAGTCGACATTCTTCCATGCCGACACGAAAGTCGGTGTTAGTCGGTCTTCTCATCCTAGACAGCTCTCCAAGAGTCTACTCGGCTACTCGTCCAGAACACTTCTTGAACCGCCTTGAAACGGCCTTACTTCTCGACGAAGCTACCCTTACTAGCTACATGTCTGTATCGCATTTAATGCATAGCAGGTGCATTATTTCTCTAGCCCCGATAGTCTTCCTGACTCATCGGACCACGTGGGTCACTATCCCACCACTGATCACTTCCCATTTAATGCCGAAGTGATCTACCCTCCAGTCGTCATCCGACACTTGTAAAGCAAAAGCTGATTCAGCTACCAACCCGCACTTTGCCACCGCCTCACTATGCTCGACCGAAGTGACCAATTAACCGTTCATGCTTCATATATACATACAAGTATCATTCGAACTTAGAGGAGGACCTTTTGGAAAAAACAGAGATCGAACCCTAGAGTATTTTTCTGCACACAAGAATACATTGTTCTAACTTTTCCCACTCAAGTTCAGATTAACTAACTTGATCATTGGAGGTACAACAGGGGAACTAATCTCCGCCCCCTTACGAGTTTCTACACGTGCAGATTAATCGACAATCAAACTCAAGAAACAGACATAAAGTCAGGGAAGAAAGCGGCCATTCGTCCACATTGAACCGAACCTATCCTCTTCTAGATACTATTGACTGTTTGATCTTAGTCATCAACAATTTCTTTAAGCACATCGTTTCATAAACACACAGCAACTAAACTTGAAAAGGTTTAAAAATACAGCACTTCAACTTCCTAACAGATATATCTGTTTTATTCCAGATTTAACCACATGCGCTAACAAATTAATCATGTGGCTAATAAAAAATTTCATGGGATTGAAAATCTCGTGAAGTTTTCCTATCAAACATCTTCACGGGATTTCTATTCATCCCGTGAAGTTTTTTTATTAACCACATGATTAATTTTGTCCTAAACATCACGGAATTCTCAATCCCATGAAGTTTTTGCAACTTATTTAACATTTTCACTTCAGTTTTAGCCAGCTAGCTGAAACTGACTGGAACTGTGTTGAAAATGCTAAATAAATGTTAAAGGGGTCAATTTTTGAAAATAAAGTTCAAATATGGTTGGTTTTGAAAAGTTGTCCCTTGCTTAATTGTGTGCGAGTTGCTTTTCTATCAGAGAGCTAAATTTTCTCAATGAAAAATTTCTGCTTTGGAAAGACGTTTATTTAGACACGATGAAGGAAGAAATTTAAAGTACAAACAGAACTTTCATAATTCTAATATACCCGCTAATACGTGTAGCAGTGTAAACGCTATGCTAATAATCCTTTCAGTAAACGTGACCTTTGTTCATTTATCTAACTGTTGACGCATGCTATCTCTGCATTGAGACTTTCATTTATTACAAAGAAGCAAATAGTGGTCATTATTCCAGCAGTTTACTTTTGGCTCCCCCTCCTTAGGGGATTCCGTCAAAAATTAAAAAAGAAGTCATTTTTTTTATAATTGCTTAGCTCTTGTTTGGATTGAGGGGAATGAGGGTGAAGGGAAGTTAGGGAAACCATTCACTTCCATTCACCTTGTTTGGAAACACTTAGGAGGTGAAGTTAATTCACCCTAGTTCCCCTTGGTTCACCCCTAATAGTATAAAATTTGTTACCCCCCAAATTGGGGTGTAATCAAGGGGAAGGGAACTCCCTTCCCTTCCCTTCCCTTCTCTCAGTTTCCCTTAACTTCCCTTCACCCCCTACAAATGTGTTTTTGGTGTTGTGTTTTTCTGGAAAAACACATTGGTGTTTTGTTTTGTCTTCCAAAGTGTTTTGAAAACACGGTTGTGGTTTTGAAAGATCACAGAACTTCACTATGATAAATCAAACAGAAATTCACAAAGAAAAGAACTTGACTAAATCCTTCATCCTTATTTCACTTCATACAAGATGAGAACAACTATAAATTTTATCTAATAGTTCCAACTTATCAAAACTAATAAAAAAGAACATTTTTGGATATCTATACTGCATTCAAACTAAGCAAAAATCGAGACAACATGGCCAAGTGAAAAATATTAAACAACATATTGAATCTACAAAAACCTAGATAGGATGAGTTATAAGAGCATCTCCACGGGTTCCCTTGGATGTCCCTTAATTTAGGGGGTACTATTGGGGAAGGGATTGGTTCTTCTCCAATGGTTCCCCTTAAAACCCCCCTACCCCTTAATTAATTATATTTAGTTTTTTAATTTTATGAATTAAGATTTAATTAAATATGTAGTTTATTTATAAATGAATAAATAATTAAATATTAATAACTAAAAATAATTAATTAATTAATTAATCTAAATTAAGAAATTACTTTATATAATCATTAAATTAATTAATTAAATAAAAATTTAACAAATAACTAATTTAGATAATAATTAATTTATATAAATCGTGTTAAAAGTTAAATATTATTTTAAATTTAAATTCATATTATTTTAATATTAATTTTATTTAACAATAATATCTCAACGGTCATATTTCAACGGTCATATTCTAACGGTCATATTTCAACGGTCATATTTTAACGATCGTATTTCAACGGTCGTTTTTTAATTAAATGTGGTCACTCCTTCTATAAATAGTACTACCAGTGTCCTTCATTTTCACTAAATTCAAATTCATTCAATTTTTTTAACTCAATCTTCAATATTATTTATGGCTAGTAATTTGTTACGTGCCTTGCTACAAGAGGAAGAGGATGACGACGATGATGATTACGCGACCTTATTAGCAATCGCATCTTTGGAAGAACACCACTCCAGCGAAGGTCAAAGTTCTCGTCGTCGTGGTTCCATTCCAGGGCACGCTGTAATTCAACGCAATAGAGCTGAAGGTCACGAGAGGCTTTTTCATGATTATTTTAGTGAATCTCCTGTGTATCCAGCAAAACTATTTCGAAGGAGGTTTCGTATGCATCGCCCACTATTTTTGCGTATTTTATCCGCAGTGGAAACACATGATTCCTACTTTGTCCAGAAACGGGATGCTGCTGGGAAAATTGGTTTATCCTCACTACAGAAAGTAACTGCTGCTATGAGGATGCTTGCTTATGGAGTATCAGCAGATTCTGTGGATGATTACGTGCGGATTGGAGAAAGCACCGCTATAGAGAGTCTCGGCAGGTTTACCAAAGCAATTGTTACAATTTTCGGTGATGAGTATCTAAGGTCACCAACTGACGAGGACACTGCAAGATTGCTTGCAATTGGCAAACAACGGGGATTTCCTAGGATGTTAGGAAGCATTGACTGCATGCATTGGAGATGGATGAATTATCCGGCTGCGTATCATGGTATGTATACTGGTCACAACCACACTCCTACAATAATTTTAGAAGCTGTTGCTGCGTATCATGGTATGTATACTGGTCACAACCACACTCCTACAATAATTTTAGAAGCTGTTGCTTCCTAATGATCGTTGGATTTGGCATGCTTATTTTGGTTTACCGGGAGCTCTTAATGACATTAATGTGTTAGAACGGTCTTCCGTTTTTTCTCAACTTGCTGAAGGGCATGGTCTGACTGTTAATTATACAGTCAATGGTCATGAATACATGATGGGATACTACCTTGCTGATGGTATATATCCGTCATGGGCAACATTTGTTAAAACAATTTCTTTACCACAAGGAAATAAAAGAAAACATTTTGCTACACTTCAAGAGTCGGCAAGAAAGGATGTAGAGCGAGCATTCGGGGTACTCCAATCACGCTTTGCAATTGTGCGTGGACCAGCTCGCTCTTGGGATGAGAAAATATTGAAAAATATTATGCAAGCATGCATAATAATGCATAACATGATTGTTGAAGATGAAAGAAATGATGATTATATCGACTTCACGTACGATGCTGTTGAGGAAGCCCCAACTATATCAGTATCTCACGAACGTACAATAGATTTGTGTGAATTTATTCAGAATCATCATCGCATTAGAGACAGACAAACTCATTCTCAATTGCAATTGGATCTTGTCGAACATTTATGGGAATGAAATGGTGGGCTTTAGTAAGGGATTTGTATGCTGATGTAATATTAATGTCATTTAATTTAGTGTTGCAAGTAAAGACCTGTTAGTTGATGTAATATTGATGTTATTGAATTTCTATATTAATATGTGATCATATTTGATTTTTGAGAAAAGTTTCCATTTGCATAAATAGAATTTCATAAAATCTTCAAATACGATACATCATCTTCAAGTACGATACAACAAGAGTAAATTGAAATACATAAGAGCACACTAAATATGATACATCATCTTCAAGTACGATACAACAAGAGTAAATTGAAATACATAAAAACACACTAAATAAATTGTAGATTTGAACCGCCACCATCTTCCTTCTAATTTGAGCTACTCTCTTTATTTCTTTTTCTTTCCGATCCTGCTTCATTTCATCAATAAACAACATCACTGGTGTAATTTCAGAAGCCACATTCTTGTCTTTACCTTGTTTCAACCTTTCTTTTGCAGCCTTTCTTCCTATGGGCCTTGACGAACCCTCAGTAGGACATTCGTCTTCTCTACAATTTATTGAATCTGGAGTTGCATGAGAAGATGTAGCAGGACTTGAATTTTTTGACCTCTTAGATTTTTTCATTGAAAATTGGCCAAGCCACTTTGGATGGAACCTTAACTCATTCCAACAATGTAAAAATTGAAAACTTGCTCCTTGCATGCTTTGAAACATTTGCATCGCTTCCATAATCTAATTAAAAAATAAAATAAATTTACTAACATGTAAAAAGTAAAACAATTAATAAATTATATAAATCTAATCAGTTTAAATAATTTGAAGCCACAATTAGTACCTTGTCATTCTCTGTCACGTCACTTTGATTTCTTGCTTCAATTTGATTAAAACACCCACAAAATTTACTAACTGCAATTTGAATAGCAAACCAACGGTGCTCTAACCCTTTTTGATCACGATCGCTACTGAATGTTTTGTTTTCATGATAGTAAGTTGCTACTCGGTGCCAAAATGTAGAATATTTTTGTAATGTCCCTTGCACTAGATCAATGCTAGTGTTGATCCATGCAGATACAAGCAAGGTGTCTTCTTCGATCCGATATTTTGATTTTCGCATTGACTTCTTTTGCAATGGTATATCTTTTACCGTATTTTCTTCTGGTATGTCCGGCTGAAACGATTGCTCTTCATATTGATCTTCCCATGGATAATGACTAGTCATCAAATTGACATAATATGGATTATTATTTTCTGCCATCTACATCAGTATAAATCTCACATGAGTATGATTTAATTAAAATTCTCAAATTGTTAAAAATATAAGAAACATGAAGTGCAGTTATAATTAAACAAAAAATATAACCTACCTTAAATTGTAGTATATATGATGAAATAGAGGTAGAAATAATGAAAGAGTGAAGTGTGAAAGTGAACATCAGGGTAGTGCCTTATTTATAGTGTAAAAATTAATTAGATAGTTTTAAAAAAATTAGCTATTCTAGCTAAAAAAACAAAAAAAAAACCTATACTAGAAAAATAGTCTGGACTAGGAAAAAAGCCTATACAAGAAAACACCCTATACTGCAAAGACAAAACCTATAATTAAAAAAGCCTATACTAGAAAAACAACCTACACTAGAAAAAAATCTTATACTAGAAACACACCCTATACCACAAAGACAACCTATAATTAAAAAAAATCATATACTAGAAAAACAGCCTATATTAGAAAAAAAAACCTATACTAGAAAAATACTTTATACTAGAAAAAACAACCTATAATTAATAAAAAAATATTAATAAAAAATTATAATAAAAAATTATAAGAGGTACATTTTAAAAAATATTAAACAAATTAAATTAACTACACATTAATTTAATTATATTATTTTAAATTAACTATATATTAACTAAATTTAATAACACATAAATTAACACTAAAAGAAAATATATTATTATAAAATTATAAGGGGAAGGTTAAGGGACTTTAACCTTCCCCTTAATCTAGGGAGAAAGTTTAGGAACTTGGGGTGTAGGGGGAACTTTTCCGGTCCATTGGAGACCATGTCCCCTAAAAACCCCTTAATTTAGCTAAGGGGCCGGATTTTCCCGGCCCCTTGGAGATGCTCTAATCACAATTCAAGTAGGATTAAAAAAAACCATAAAACTTAACCTCCTCCTGCAATCAGCAGCAACACGACGAAGCTGCTTGATCGAAGCGGGCGGAGACGACGAAAGCATCTCTAGATCAATTCGCCATCGAACCCCTCTTAGATTAGAAAACCTCAAATTATCTGACTCCTGATGCGATGCCTCCCTCAATAGAAGCTCGGTTGGAGCTGAGGACATTATCCTTTCTTAAATCCCCAACCAAAGGAGCAAATTTTTCGTGAGTTGAGAATGGTTACTGTGAGTTGAGAACGAAGGTGACGGCCACGGCTACAGGCTTTGGAGCCACCGGCTACAGGCTTTGGAAGGCGGCGACGACGACGAGGCTTGAGGATCTGGAGGTGATGAGGCTTGAGGGATCTGGAGGCGATGAGGCTTGAGGGATCTGGAGGAGAAGGCGATCTGGAGGCGACGGCGGACTGTAGGCGACGACGGGCTGGAGGCGACGACGGAATTTGGAGGATCTGGAGGCTACGCAAGGAATCAGATCTGAAGCTTGGTGCTGTTTGCGAGGACGACGGAGACGCGATGGCCACGCCACGGCGAAGGAGAGACGGCGACGTCGGCGGGCTTTGGAAGGCGACGTCGGCGGGCTTGAAGGCGACGACGGCGACGGGCTTGTGGCGAGATGAGATCTGAGAGCTTGGATCGATGTTTTGGGGGAAATGAAAACAACGGGCTTTAAACAACTTTTTCTTGTTTTGAGAAAACCGTTGAAATTTTGGGTTGGTTGTGGTTTTGGACACAAAAACAGAAAGGTTACCAAACACGTTTTGTTTTTATTTTTTTAAAACGAAACGAAAACCGCACAAACATAACGGTTACCAAACGCAGCCTTAATTATATGCAGCCTTAATTATATGCAACGCCTTTCAAGGAGCTAAATTTTCTCAATCAGAAATATGTGCCTCAGAACACGTTATATTTAGATGCAAGTAAAGAAGAAATTTAAAGTACTTGATTGTCATGTGAACACAGATCTTTCCTAATTCGAATATATCAATTCCAGGTGAACACTATGCTAATGCTTTAAAGTAAATGAAACATTTGTGCATTTATACCAATTGTTAACGCATATGATATCTGTAGTTTTCTTTCGGTGTGGTGATACAAAAAAATGGCAGCTATTGTGATATCATCCCAGGCCCACTATAGGTCCTTCTATCATCAGCACTATCACAACTACCAACATTACACATATTTTCGAATTTATTGAAACTATCCTCCATTCCAGCTACATACTTCTCCATCCCCTCTACATGCCGAGCCAAATCTAAGCCCATTTTCATCCATTTCCTTGCCTCCTCAACCTGTCGAAGCCTAATAGCCATCCCTCCCTTGTTCCAGGCTGTAGTTGCAAGCCATTTTCCCTCTTCAGTTGGATACTCTCCATCCTTTAGGCCCACAATTATCTGGTAAGCCTGCCAATAATTCTTGATATCATCCATTCCGGAGAGCCCTGCTAGACTAATTAGCCTTCGGAGAACTGTGGCAACCATGTGGTAGTCTGGTGAGGGGCATGCTAGGAGTGTAGAGAGGCAGGAATTCAATGCAAAATCTGCGGCCTCTGGATTTGTTCTGAGGCCCTGGCTTGCTACAAGACCAAGCTGGAGAAGATGATTAGGGCTGCATGATTTGGAGGAAGCAAAGCTCTGTACCAGCTGGAGTTGTTGAGGCTGCCCATAATCGACCTTGTTGAGCAGATGATAGGTGTTGAATGTATGAAGGAAGAAGAGAGTAGAGGCTTCGGCTTCCTGGTCACTGCTGGATATTGATGGAAGTATCTGTATTCAGTTAACAATGACATCCACTTGTTTCAGTCGATAAAAAAACATTGTTTCGCTTCATTCACCAAGTTAAAACTGATGCTAGCCATTAGCCAAGATGGTTGAGAATCCACAAAATTTAACGAGACAAAAATCATATCAATCACATAACAATAGTATTTCAAAAGACAATATACAGTTCATAAACTCTAGATGCACGTCAAGAAACATCTCAAGCTAAGGTTATTTTACATATGGATGATCAAGCATAAGATGTGAATTTTATAGGGTTGTTGGGTTACCTTGCCAGCTCTGCTGAGCATTTCCATAGCCTTTCTGACACTGGACTCCGGCATTGGCACCTTATTCTGTTCCTCAAAATTGATCATAGCTCCAACACTCACAATCAAAGCCTTACAAACCATGAAATTAGTTCCATCACTTTCGTTGCTGATTTTACTGTAGAATTCTGAAGCAAACTCCAAGAACTCTGCAGCAGAGTCATACTTTTTCTCCTTCGCCATCTTCAATCCCATATTCCATGAATTCCCTGCAAACCAGCTGAGCTCACGGCTACCAACAGCTCCCTTTCCAAAAAAGGGCTCAACTCCGAGATCTGTCATTTTAGAGCGAGCACACCTGGTATGCTTAAGGATCTCATGCTCGGTATCTGGATACCTGTGTAGGAGTGTGATGAGGTTGCGTTGGACCGCAACTTCTGGCATTGGCATTTGCTTCCCTGAGGAACAGAGGTTGAGGAGGACAGAGAGTGATGAGATGGCAACAGGAAGAGCTTGGCAAGCAATGGCCTCATGGGTTGAGAGCATGAGATACTCTGGGTTGAAATCAATGCAGCTAGTCATTGCTTGTATCTGATTGATGGCCTCTTTCTCCTCTCTCTTTTGCAGGTGAATTTTGAACTGCAATTTAAGATGGAAGGAAACTTTTTTTAAGTTTTGCAGTAATGAATGGTTCATACCTAACTTCTCCCACAGAAGGTGATACAGTAGGTTTTAGTTTCAGGAAGAGAAGCCCTCAGGGGAGAATAACCATTGCATGGGAATTGGACAAGAAAAACTTTG